GATGACTTTGGCAGTTTGGGTCAGTACTAATCAAAATAAAAAATCAGTACTTATTTACTTCATAACTTGTTCCTCAATTAAAAAAATTCTAAAGATTTTCTCATGATAAAAATGGGGTAATATGTTGGGAGGAAGACCAGTATACTCACATATCAAGACTTTATACTGTCATCAGGATGATAAATTGGACTTCATCAAAATTTTTAAAGATTTTTATGTGAAAAATCCTGTTAAGAGAATAGAAAAAAAGACCAAGTTATAGACTTGGAGAAAATATTTGAAGTAGATATCAGATAAAGGACTCATATCTACACTATATATAAAAACTGTAAATGCTCAACAGTAAGTAAATATACAATCCAATTACAAAAATGGACAAAAGGTAGGTAGAAGCACTTACCAAATACAAAAATGGTAAATAAGTACATTAAAAGATGTCCAACATCACTAGTCACTAGGAAAATGCCAGTTAAGAACATAATGAACAATCATTGCATACCCATTAGAATACAATAGCAAAAATGGTAGTAACCATACTAAACACTTGAGGGGATTCAGAGAAACCTGATTCCACATACATTGCTGATAGTTTACTGTAGTAATAGACATAATTATCAGAAGCCTCAGCAATCACATTCTTGGACATTTGTATCATAAAAATGAAAACATAGCTGTACAACAACCTGTACATGATGATGCATAGCAGTTTATTTGTAATAAGCGCAAAATAGGCAAAACCCAAAATGCATTAGAATGGGTGAATGTTTAAATTATGGTACATCAATATTCTGGAATGGGACTTAATAAAAAAGGGTAACATACTATTAATGCATACAAGTATTTGGAGGGATCTCAAAGACCCTATTCTGAGTGAAAAAAATACTCAAATCACATACTATGTAATTCTATTTATAAACACTCTTGATATATTAGAGGTACAGAACAAATGGGTGGGTGCCAGTGTTTAGGGATGGGTGGAAGGAAAGGCAGGTGTAACTATAGTTAAGGACAAGATAGATTTTTGTGGTGATAGAATAGCTATGTACATTATTTGCTACATGAATCTACATATACGGATAAAGTACAATTTATTCCAATGTCAAGTTTTCATGTTACATGGTATAGTTAAGACGGAACCAATGGAAAAACTGTGTGAAGGACACAGATTCTCTCTGTGCTATTTTGTAAATGTCCTGTTAATCTACACTTTTTTTTAAAAAATTAAAATAAAAAATAGCCTATAGCAAGTCAGATCATTAAACTTTTTCTAGTTGGTTTCCTTTCAGTGTTTCTGAAACCATACCTTTGAACAGTTACTCTTGGTTACAGATATCCAGCAGAAACTGTCTTCACCTGCGCTTCCCATGAAAAAATACAGAACATGACATCAAATCCCAAGAAACCTGATGCAGATAGCATTTAATGCACTTTAATTTGGGAAATAAGTACATTAATTTCTAATAACTGCTCTAGACACACATACAACAGCAACCAGCAGGCAATCCTGCTGCTTTTTAGATGAGAATTATTGTAACACATAGAATAAAATGTTAAAATGGAAATTTTTATGTCTCGGGTTCAGCTAAATGTCAAAAAGCCAAAAACAACAAAAAATAGGTGGTGAAGATTCTCACATTTTAAAGTGAGGTGGTAGACATTTTTGCAGTATTTATAAAAAGCAAACAGAAAGCTCTTATGAGACCATAAACCAAGACCTCACCTCTGAATGAGTTAACACTGAAAATTGTGAGAAAGACATTTTATTTGGGAAAATGAGTATTGGGGTTCCATTTCATCTTTCACCACTGATCATTTCCACAGTTCATTTTAGGGTTCCGCAAGGAAAATTTCTTTTTCTTAGCCTCAGACATCAAGCTTACAATAACTGTGGAACTCTAATTCTTTTAGCCAAAATTAGAAAAAAATCTTTTTGGTCCTCTCCACAATCCATTTTTTTTAAGATTTATTTATTTATGCATACAAGAGCTGGGGTACAGGCCGGAGATGTGGGGGGTGAGAGGATTTACCAGAGACAGAGTGGGGAACAGAACAAACAGATTGACTGAAGCACACTGCTGAGGGTAGCATAGGGTGAGCCAGGAGAGGTCTGCTGTGCCATGTGGGTTTCTTTCTGGCCGGGATTGAACTCATGCTATAGAGACTGTGGATTGCTTAATCATGCGATGCTTAACCCCTTGTGCGACCAGGGAGGCCCACAATCCATATTTTTATTGTTATCATTCATTGGATCAAAAGGGGTAGGTAAGGTGAAAAAACAATGATAAAGATGTTCTCATGATTCTCCTTTATTTCCAAAACTTGAAGAAAACTTGAGATAAGATTATTTGTTACAGAGAAAATTTGGTAAGAAATTAACATGTTAACTTAAAATAAAACACAATCCTTTCTTGCCATTATGGTAAGAAGGTTGAAAGAGATGTCACTGGTTTAATAAACATTTCCAAGGTTACTTGTACTATGGCTCAATAGTTTCAGCTTTTCTCTTTTCTCTTTGTGACATGTTAGATGACTTTGCCATGTTGGGAAGTTGTTTGCATAAATGAACTTATGCAATTGACAGGTCTGATTTTTAATTTCTTTTGTGAAATGTATATTCTTGTGCCTTAAAAGATGTGAGACATACCTACTAAAAGAAGAAAAGTCTCATTCTTCAGAAAATAGGCAACCACATTAGAGACCTTCATAAATATGAAAATTATTTATTTGTGATCCTGAAGCAAAATCATAAGTATAAACAGGCATGCTAAAAGAACATGCTGTATAAGGAAAAAGGAAGTCCTTTTCCCATCACACTGACTGATTTATGCAGAAGCTAAACATAAATGTAGAGATCATTGCATGTATGTTTCCACTGCATTGTTTGAATTCATGTCTCCAAGGAATAGCCAATCAAGTGAAATCAAAATTAAGAATACTTCTTATGCATTTCAAAATTCCAAATTAGCATTAACTATTTTTTTATTCAGAATACTTATCTTCAAAACTATCTTAATGAAATTATCTTTGTTTTTAAGAGGATATTACTTATTTTTTGCTGAGTACTTTAAATATAACAAATCTCCCCAAAGAGAAAAATCGTGGGGATAAATTTGGTAATTGAATTCCTTTAAGAACATATAAGACTGGAGACCAAAATTCCTTTCAGAATTAGCAAGTAGTCTTCCTGGGCCTCAGTCCACTGCACAATGATAGGGGAGGGAGACAAGAAACTCATTTTCTGATTGACAATAGGCACACCTGTGGTAAGTAAGATGCTTAGCCCTGAGGACTGTGATGACCCATATAGGAAGGAGAGTCTTGGAGTGGGAGGTAAATAGAAGTTAGAAGCCTGTGGAACAAGGCAGGAAGTGAGCTTTCCTGATAGCTCCATCTTATTACTTCCCATAGAGATTATACAAGTGATAGACAGGACAGATAATGTTCAGACAATAGAGTGACCTTCTGACTAGATGGCCATATGTGCAATGTCTACACAGTCTTCAGATGTCAGAATTTTAGTGTCCTTGGGATCTGAAATAATGTTATTAAGTGACACATGCTAGGATCTTAGCTCTCTCCCTCCCCCATCTCTGTGCAGCCGGGTCAATATTCTAGATTGAGGCTGAGGACTTGTAATTTACAAAATGGTGATGACCCAGAGAAATACGGCTTTATTGCTGGGGAATTCTGTGATTCCAAAACATTCTTGACTGATGGACTAAGGAATATGTGTTCAATACAAATGTGTTTTTATACTTTTTCCTTTATAAGAAAAGAAATCAGTCAATATCTAGAATGTGAAACTGTGATCTATCACATGTCATTAAATTTTCAAGTATTAATATGAAAGATGAACTTTTAAAAATTAAATATGCCTCCTAAATAAATAGAGATATTTATCATTTGAAATCTTAGAACTCTGCAGCATTAACTTTATTTTTTTTTTAAAAGAATGACATCCATAGAGGCTTTACTGGTGAGTTGCAGATGCCTTGGCTTCTTGTCACATAGTCAAGTGGCTGCTGCCCTAATTTCCTTGTCTCATCTACTTTCCTGTTCCATTTCTTATATAGTGACTAATGTGCAGGAATAAGGGAAAGGGTTGGAGGAGAAACTGGAAGCAGAGATTATGAATAGAGATTGGGAAGTGAAAGATGCTGAGACAGGTAAAGAGAAGAAGGAATGTGATGATTGTATGTAATTCTCTAACACTAGCTGGAAGTGACTTTCCTTCCAACACCAACAAACGAATTGTTCTACTTGGCCTCTCAGCTTTGCCAAAATGAACTCTGTTGGGATGCTGCTCCAATTGGAAGCAGAATCCCTCTTATTCCTCATTCTCTAAGTTTCCAAGTCTAATTCCTTGATTATCATGCTGTAAGCTTAGTTTTCCAATGTAGACTCTCCAAGTATTTTTTATTTCCCCTATGTCGCAGATCATCTGATACAGATTTAAATGTTACAATGTCTTAACAAGAAGGTCTGACAAAAGCTGGTCAAGTAAGATGTGTTCTTTCTTTTAGGTAAATATATTTAATTCCTAGCTCTAAGTGAACAGTTTTATTTTTACACACACATTTCTTACTCAAAGTAGACTGATTGTGATGAAGAAGATATATGAGTAATTTGGCAAAAGTCAGGGTAGAAGGAAATAGAAAACCTAGTCCTTAAGGAGAGGAGAGAAAACTTGAGAAGAAAGAGAATTCTTTTCAAATATTTAAGGGATCTATTGGTCAATTGGAGAAGAACTAGTTGTAGAAAAGAGTTTCAACCTGAACCCCCAGAAAGAATTGAAAATAGATTGAATCACTCTATGGAAGTAATTTATTGTTTTTTAATGGGAAGATTTAAAAGAATAGAAACAATAGATATTTATGGCAGAAACTGAAAAATTGAGAGAAGTTGAAAGGAAAAAGAATTGCACACAATCCCAGAGATGTAAAAACTTTGTTTATTGGGAACAGCTGAATAAAAGCTTTTTATTATAATTTATCCTATTGTTCATTTAGTATCTTCAAATTAAGTATTTCTGGCACACTATTTTCTCCCTGAATATGAGAAGAAATGAGAAGTTAGATTCAAGCAATCAGAAAAATAAACAAAAATGACAGGAGATTCTGAGAACACCTACAGTAAGGACTACCTTTATCAACCCGGTCAGTTGCAGGGAGTCTGCTTTGTTGGAGTGAGAAACATCATAAAAACTGCAATTATTGTTCTTCATTCTCACCAAATAAATGAAAATATAATTTTATGGTCAATAATAAAATAAATTTAGGTCAATAATAAAATGTATCCTGAATAAAATACTTTATAATTTAGAATGGAACACTGAAATTTTGTTAAGAGCCTATTTTTTCCTAGTGCAAATAAACATGATTATGTAAGTAGAACCCCTCCCAGCTAATCACTAACTGAAAGTACGTCACTTAAAGCTCTCATTGCTTCAGTTCACTGTATCCACCCCCATGTCTGCTAATTTGTCAGCTGAATATGATTTCTGTCAGTGACTCACTAGAATCCTTTTCCCGGTATGGTTAACAAGTCATTTTTCATAGATGCTGGACTCACAGTTTTAGTTGCCTTTTCTATGCGCAATAGACTCTTTTTTCCTTGTGATAATGCTTGGACTCATTCAGTAAGAGGTTTCCTGGTTTTTGTCATTTTACACCCATTATCTTGTTCCATTGCTATCTTGACATGTTCCTTTCTCACAGCTTTGATTCAGGAGACTGAGATAATAAGTGAATTTAGGTTGTATGTGGAAGAGACTAGAAATTCTCAAGAATGACTGTAAAGACAGCACAGCTTTACTCCACTTCTCTTTGTTTTTTTAAGATTCATTTATTTATGCATACAAGAACTGGGGTACAGCCCGGAGGTATGGGGGTTAAGAGGATTTACCAGAGATAATGGGAAACAGAACAGGCAAACTGACTGAAATACACTGCTGAGGGGAGCAGCAGGTGAAACAGGAGAGGTCTACTGTGCCATGTGGGTAGCTCCCTGGCCAGTGGGAGACTGAACTTGTGCTGCAGAGGCTGTGGATAGCTTCACAGTGCTGTGCTTAACCCCTTGTGCCACCAAGAAGGCCCCACCTCTCTTTGATTCTACAGGGTGGCCAGGGCCAGGGTCCTCTGAGCCCTGCCATTATTTCTCACCTGGGCAGTTTATTTTCACCTCTTGGGTATATATTCTGCTGAATATATCTATGTGACAGTTGAATCTATTGCTCAGATGAATCCTCTAAAAGTGCAGAGAGAAATGTAACTAATCCAGAAATAACTGTTGACTACCCCTGCAGGACTGAATTGTCGAAACTGGACAAGGATCTCACTCCAGTGAGTATGCCAGTCTGTGTTACCTTAGAATGTCACTTCTCTAGTCAGTCATTCTAGAATTGGATCTCTTCCATCATCTTCATTCTCTTGGCTTTAATTTGCTTCTTAGCATCTTTACCATTGATCTACTTAATTTGTTATTCAGCCGCTCTTTGTCCCCATGCTCCCCTCCCAGAAGATAGCATGATGACAGCAGGGACCTGACTTTTGTCAATGACTCCAACCCCCGTGCCCGAAACATCATGGGTGTTCAATAATACTTGTTGAATAAATAATAAGTGACCTCACTTAAAAGATGGTTTATCAAAGCAGCTGAAGAATGAGGGTTTGCTTCTTCATACATGTTTGTTTTCTCATCTCCATCATGGGTGGACATGTAGGTGGACACGTACAGAAATAAAGCAACTGGTGTGATCATCCTGTCCTGTGCCAAAAGAGAAATACTCAAGAAGTAATTATTGATTGAGTAGATACATCAATGAATGTGTGAGTTTAGCAACCAGTCAAATAAGTTCTTCTGATTAGAGCTCTGAGAAATAACCCAGGAAGATGGGAAGACAAGAAATACAACACAAGGAACAACCCTATTATTCCTTCAAATGTAATTGTGGGGATGTTATGAGAAAGGGACTGATTTTTCCCTTCTAGTTATTTAATGAAGAGATTACGAGAAAAACCTAGATGACCAAAATAAAATACAAAGACAACATGTGCCATTGGGCGACAAATACATGGAATTTCATGGAAGCGTTATAAGAAAAGATTTAAATATGAGCCCCATTTCACTGGAGATATAATTTTAAATTTTGCTCAGAGGTGATGACAATTTTCTCATCAAAAAGACACAGCTAAAGGAGCAGTAAGACCTGCCAGAATGCCTCCCATCTCAAGGTCCAATTTAAAAATAACTTTCTGTCTTCTCTAAAGATATGGAGACAGTGTGAGGAGAGCCCTGAGCAGGCTTCAGCAGATAGGGGTATTTTCAGTCCATTACTAACCATTGACTTAACCTGTCTTGTAAACACCAACACAGTTGGTTCTCTAGAACACTTCCAAGCTTGCTGTGTATAAACTGAACCATAAAGAGGTCCCGGGAGGATGAAGCTTCCAAGATCCCAAGGACCTGGTGGCACCCCATTACCTCCCATTACCTCCCTGGGAGAAGCTTCTTGATTTAGTCTCACACACAAATGTGCAGATCCTCTCCATGGCCTGGCAGGGAGCCTAGAGCAGGAAAAAGTGTTATGTTTCCTTTTGTGAAGTGCCAGTAAGAGCCATGGGCCATGCCCAGACTGAGTTATAGGGTGCTCTTTGGCTTTTTGGCTGATTTACTGTATCTTTAGTGTCAATGCAGTGTTCCTCTGTAACCTTCTCTCAGTTCCTAATTTCAGTCAGCACAGAATGAGGAAGAATTTCTTATACATTGCTAATGAATGAAATATAAGAAAAAGTACATTTTGGAATTCTGAAAAAATAAAAATATGAATGTAGTACTATGTATGCAAGAGGCTATTTCTATATAGACCTCTTTAAAGGAAAAACCTACTTTCTGACCTTTTTTCTATAGATAATATTTTTTTCCTTTACAAAAAGGAGAAATTCTCAACTTCTTTCTCAAAATTTTATCTTTACTTTTCTTTTTCTTCCAGCCACTCTCACTTAGTAAGCAATCCATGAAGTCTTCTGTGTACCCTAGATAAGAGATCTAGGCAGTTCCTCTGATGAGAGCAATTCTTGCACTATTAGCTTCTTATTAATTTTAATAGATTATAATCACCCAACTGGTATGGACCATATTTTACTCAGAACTTAGTACCAAAGGAGCAAACATTGCTGCATCTATTAAGGTCATCATATGCCAAGTACAATTTAGACACTTTACATACCTAATGTCATTTGTGCTTCAAAACAAATCTGTTTTTTTTTTTTTATTTTGTTTTTTTAAAGATTTATTTATTTATTTATACATGCACTGGGTACAGTCGAAGCACAGGAGGGTGAGAGAATTCACCAGAGCCAGAGCAGGGAGCAGAACAAACAGACTGATGAAATACACTTCTGAGGGGAGCAGCGGGCTGCAGGAGAGGTCTGCGCCCCATGTGGGAACCTCACCCGGTGGCTGGGGATCGAACCGGCGCTGCAGAGACTATGGGCAGCTTCGCAACTCAGCGCTCAACTGCTGCGCCACTGGGGAGGCCCAAAACAATTCTGTTTTTATAGATGAAGGAGCAGAATCACAGATGTTAAATTAAACACCTACTGAACAGTGAATGTCACTAGATACTCATAACTGGAGTATATGTAGTAAGCCCTCACATATTTGCTGAGTGAACAGTTATTGATCTCTTGAGTATAGACATCTTGGTATAACCAATATGATCATATGCCCTATGAAGTAACTCTAGAACCATCTGTAGTACATTTTATTGGTATTTATAATGTAATTCTAATTTCGAGGGAAGATACAAAAATGATTGGAGAAGGCAGAATTTCAATATTGATTAATTTTACTTTCAATAAGTTTTAAAGTTCTGTTATTGAAATACATAGATTCAATGATTGAAAAAAATTCTAAAAATTCTAAAATTTCAGGGACTGAAGTCTTAAAGAGTAAAATTAGTAATTTCTCTTCAGGAACTTTGCGATATAAAAGCATGAATTACATTTGTCCTAGAATCTCCTGGGCACATTTTCTAGCTGAATATGCATGATGAAGCAGCTGCTTTGATGTCATCTTTTGGCCACTCCAGGCCATCCTCTGCTGGCATTCTTTCTTAGGGCTCCATCCAAGTGATCCCATGTGTAAATTAGTATGTAAAATCAAGACTTCTATTATCTCTTTGCTGCAACACCATCTCAGAAGAAGATGACAGTAATAATGGAGCAGGGAAAGGGATGTGACCCATAAACATCTTAGCCTTGCCTCTGAATTAAGTACATTTTCACATTATAAAATGTTGTAGACTCAGGAAATACAATAGATTCTAAAAAGGAATAAGTAGAAGATAAAAGCATCGGCATTTCCACCAACCAAACATAATTATTGGCGTCATTTCTTTGTATTACATGTGCTTGATATTTTGAATAGTTTGCTTAATAAATGAATACATGAAAAATAGACAATTGGTAGATACATAGACAATGTCATTCTATTATAGAATTTTTATATGCTATTTCTCACGAATGTATAACAAGAAAATTATTTTAAAATCCTATAAAGGAATATTTTTTTTTTTTAATAGAGGCATGTTTTATTTATTTATTTTGTTTGTTTGTTTGTTTGTTTTTTTTTTTTTTTGTTTTATACATGCACTGGGTACAGTCAGAAGCGCGGGAGGGGGAGAGAATTCACCAGAGCCAGAGCGGGGAGCAGAGCAGGCAGAAGGACCGAAGTACACTGCTGAGGGGAGCAGCGGGCGGCAGGAGAGGTCTGCGCGCCATGTGGGATCCTCCTCCGGTGGCCGGGGAGCAGCCGGGGATCGAACCGGCGCCGCAGAGGCCGCGGGCAGCTTCGCAACCCAGCGCTCAACCGCTGCGCCACCGGGGAGGCCCAAAAGGAATATTTTTAATGACTGTCCCATGTTCTACCATGTACATATCCCTTATTTATTTAGGAATTCCATATTTTTATTTAGATTGTCTTTTTTCCCCTGCTATCAGTCACACTGTCATGATCATATATGGACAAAAAGCCTTTTCTATAATTGGTAATTTTTTTAGCTTCATGAAAGAGAAATCATGGAGTCAAACAATTTAAAGAGTTTTATATCTCCTACTGTGGTATTTTTAAGCCCTCAAGGAAAAGTCATAATAAAGCTAGAAAATGCACATAAAGATATCTGTGGATTCCAGTATCCCTATTTTTAATATATGGTTGTTTGGACTATGCTGAAGTAAAGGGCAGAGAAGAACAGAATACATGTGTCTAAATGGGTATTTCCCACTGGGGAGCATGATGCCAGAGTGGTGATTTTTCTCTTTTTTCTTCCCACTGTGCATTAACCTTTTTGAATGATCACATTTAAGCCTATTAAGCTACTGTGAGCTCTAGGGCACAAATGGGCTGATACCATCCATTTATTCCTTCACCTACAATATGCCAGTACTAGGTGATGGAGCTATGGAAGTTAAAGACAAGAACCAAACCTCTTGAGGGTCAAGGGGAGTAAGAATCTCAGAGGGGAGTTAGAAAGAGTCAGAGTGATTTGTTGCTTTGCTTTTAGAGGTCAAGTAAACAATGTCCTTGGAAGACAAACTGAAGTTCAGATGTAAAGGACAAGTGGCAATCAGTCCTAATGATGTTAGAGAAAGACCATTCTAGGCAGGGTGAACATCAAGGGCATATTTTCTCAGTGAGGATCTTGCTCTGTCATAGAAAATAGAAGTACATTGTAACTAAAAGCTATCACTTTCTCCTTTTTAAAAAAATATTTATTTATGCATACAAGAACTGGAGTGTAGGCCAGAGGTGCTGGGGTGAGAAGATTTATCAGAGTCAGAATGGGGAGCAGATCAGGTAGAGTGACTGAAATAACACTGCTGAGGGGAGCAGAAGGTGAGACAGGAGAAGTCTGCGGCACCATGTGGGTCATCTCCCTGGCCAGGGATCAAACTCATGCTGGAGTGGCTGTGGATAGCTTCATAGTGCTGAGACTTAACCTCTGTGCCACAAGGGAGGCCCTATCGCTTTTTTCAATTATGAGTACAGGAAAAATAAAACAATATAGTATTTGAAGTTTCTGTGTTTTGTTATCATTAGAAATCTCTAACAGTCATTGAATTATACTTTTTGCATATATATTTAAATATCTATATATACTATATGTTATAGTAGTTATTACATCTGTTACTAAGTATTTTTTTATAAAAGAAATTTCTTTTAAAATATTTTGATGACTATATCAATATAGTTGGTTTTCATTTCAGTAACTTTATGCCTATAAAATATTATTCTGAAAGAATTCATAGCTTCATTACAAGGTCGAGTGCATTTATGGTACCAAAATA